TGGCAAAGGTCCTCGCTGAGCAAGAACTACCAATATGTTCACTTCATGTGTCCCTAAGATCTGGAAGGCTGCCCTGAGTGCCCCCGCACCTCTCTGCCCCAAGGTTGTGCCATAACCACTGCTGAGTAGCCGGAAACAGAGCTACAGGTGGCCCGTAATCTGCCTTGGAGCCTGCTGTCTCCCACTAGATCTTGTTCCCCTGATCAAGGCTTGTGGGATCATTGAGTCAAGGCAGGAAGGCATGAAACGAAGTTGAGACCAGAGATCCGAGCAGCAGGGGCCAGTGGCCAGAGATCCCCGATCCCCTCCACGTGGGGTGGACTGCAAGGGCCAGGCCTCTGCCCCACTCTGGCAAGAGGTAGATATGGAGTGTGTCTGCCACCTCTCTTCTCTGCCCACTGCCTTGTCCTTCCTGTACCCTGCACATGCTGCCCACAGACGGTCCAATTACAAACTGCAGCCAGTTTTTTACAGCCTTGAGTTGGCTACTGAAATTTATACATGGGGAAGTGCAGCTGGATCTGGGTTCCCAGCCTCACTGGAGAACTGGCGGGTCTGGCAAGTTGGGCCTGCCCTCCTCCCCACAGGAAGTGTCTGGAGCCTGGACAGGACTTGTGCTGCTTTGCAGAGGGCCACACTCCCTCCTGGGGACAGCCTGGCCCTTGCAGGTGGCTGGGGTGTGACCTCTGGTGGAGGTGGGGGAAGGGGCTGGGTCAGAACCCTGGTGTGAGGAAATTGGGTATCACAGGTGAGCCCATGGATTCCCAAGTAACAGCTCAGCAACACCCCAGTTCTCTCCGGTGACCCCTGCTACTTGTGCCACTCCAAGAAGTGCTGGTTGGGCCTTTTCTGCCGCACGGGCAACTGGGAGTCAGGATGCTGCCATCCTGGATGCCTGGGCTTCAGGGCCACCTCTTAGCTGCTTGGGAGCCTTGGATGGAAGATTTTCCTGCTCTTGTCTTTTCCAGTTGATGGAAAAGACAAGAGCTTGCTGCTTTTGGCTGTCCTTGTTGGCTCTGGGGAGCAGGCAAGTGACTTGTGCAGGAAAGGCCCCAGTAACTTCCAGGGGCGGGTGGTGCTGTGATAAATGCACAGGATGGCCCTCTCTGCCCTGCCTGACCTGCTGTGTGAGGGCGTGGCTTGGGGTGGGGCTTGTGATCCCTGGGCCTTCTAAGGAACCGCACTATCCTCCTCACACCCATTGCTGGGCACAGAGGAGGCAGAGGTGGTGGAGAAGTGGAAGCACAGAGCAGGGACAGGACTGGGCCTCTGTGAGGTGGCCCCCAGGTTCCCATAAGGCCTTGGGGTAATACCCTTCCTGTTTCTGTCTGGGCTTCATTTCATCCTTGGATTAAGGGCAGGCACACCCTCTGCTTACTCACTAGTGTGGTTATAAACTAATGGGAGAGTTTGCAGAGGCTTTGATCCCGGGAGAAAGAAGCAGTGTGAGGATTTACTTACCCATGTTACAGGCGAGGAAAATTAGATCCCTAAAAAGAGAATGTTCGACCTGCAGCCATTTGGCAGCTTGGGAAATAGAGTCCTAGGCACACTCCATTCCGGAAGCAGTGGGGACAGGTGCCTCATACACAGGCCTGGGATACCTGCAGAAGCAGAGAGGCCAGAGAGCAGGGTGGGCAGTGTTGGCTGGAGGAGCCACCTTGCCTTCCCTGCGCTGGCTCTCACGCAGTGTGGCGTCTCCTGGCCTCTTGGAAGCCCATCTTGTGGCAGCCCTGGTCTTCGTTTGAATCTCCCTGCAGAGCTGGCCAGAGTTCTGCTCTTTTCCTGCGAGCTGTATCCACGACGTTCTGCCTGTTGGTTCTGAGAGTGTGGTGGCCACGCTGACGCTGCCTCGCGTGCTGACGCTCCTTGTCCTGGGACTTCCCGACTAGAGCCGGCACCCTGATGTGCGAGCCCCCCTCCCTGTGGATGTCGCCCATCGCCCTGCCGAGTGGAAGCAGCAGAGCCCAGCCTGTGTGCTCCCCCACCTGTGCTGTGTCCTGGGGGACAGACCGCTTCTCCTGGGGGTCTTGCTTGTCCTCCCTGTTCCCTCAGAGGGTTGGAGGAAGGGAAAAGGAAGACAATCTATGCCCAACCAGGAGGACCCGGCTGGCTCTATTACAAGGAAGACGTTCAAAGTTGAACTTTCAAGTCTGGAGGAGGATTTAGGACTTGGCTTTAACGGGAGCTCCCGGGACTCTGATGCAGGTGTGGAGAGACCTGGACGACCTGGAAGGCACTGCCACGTCCACGCTCTTTGACCCTGGACAAGTGACCTCACCTCTCTATGCCTCTATGGGGCGATACTTTTTGTCTTCTTTTTTAAAAAGATTGGTTTATTTGAGAGGCAGAGTGACAGAGAGAGACGGGAAACAAAGATCTTCCATCCACTGTTTCACCTCCAAATGCCTGCAACAGCCGGGACTGGGCCAGACTGAAGCCAGGAGCCAGGACCTCCATCCAGGTTTCCCACATGGGAGGCAGGGGCCCAGGCACTTGGACCGTTGTGTGCTGCCTTCCCAGGCGCAGTAACTGGAAACTGTATTAGCAGAGTAGCCAGGACTCGAACTGGTGCCCTGACAGGGGATAGGAGAGTCCCGTGGAAGGCTTCCCCATCCCCACGATGCCTGCCCCGCCTTGGGGTTATAACTATGCCTACTGTGCGAGATGGTTGTGTGGTCCCCAGATCCTTCCTCAGTGCTTACTGTGGTCCAGATCCTCTGTCCTCCCGCTGGGGAAAACTGAGGCCTAAAGAGGTAACAGAGCTGAGACTCAGAACCCTGGCGGTCGGCTTGCAGAGTCTGACCTGGAAGCCCTAGGCCGGCGGTTCTCAGAAGGCGTTCCAGGAACCCACGGATGTCTGCAAGGCCGTTTCAGGTCAGAGCAGTTCTCGTCATGAGTCTAAATGCGATTTCCTTTCTCACTTGACTAGACAGTGGTATTTTGGAGCCTACACAACCCAAGATCGTGTCGTCCTTCTGACAGCTGATGAGAACGTGTGTGTGCGCATTCTTGAGTTTAAAATCTCTCCCTTCTGGTTTCTAGTGTTAGATACCTGTCTTGTCACACCGCACAGTTCAGTGGCTTGGGACTCTTCTGCCAGCATTTGCTCTTGGTCCTGCACCAGGCCACTTGGCCTGAGTTACCTCAGTGACCCTTGCTTCCTGTCCTGGGACGGAGGGGTCATTGTTCGGCTCATTCTGCAGGTGAAGAACTTGAGGCTTGGGCGCTCCCACGGGTGCGAGGCCCTACCACTGGCGAGTGGCTCTCCCTGGAGCCTGGGTCCCCGTGAGTTTCATGTCTTCCATCTGTCACTCCTGTTCGTGGCAGGCCCTTGGCCTGGTGCAGGATAGCAGTGTGCCTCCCCGGGTTCTGCTCCGTCACCGGTCTCTGCTCTGCTGTCGCTGCTGCAGTCCTTGACCAGGGTTTGGAGAGCAGCGGGGCGAGGTGTGCGCAGAGTGCAGGTTTCAGTCTGGACTCTGCCATTCGCTCGCTGTAGCCTCCCTGATCTTTCTGATCCATCCTCTGACTGGACGTGCGACAGTTGCTGCTACCGGGCATTACTTGGGGAGACTGTGCAGGTGAAACTCACGTGGCAGGTGCTCGCTCAGAAACCGGTGGCCTCCATTGTGATGTGTCTGTCACGGAGCTGTCCTCTGCCTTAAATCTAACCGTGGTGCAGCTGCATGGGTGTCCCTGGGAGCAGCTCCCTCCAGCAGGGTGCCACAGGTGGGATGGGCCACGCTCATTGGCGCTGAGCGTCTCCCGGGACTCAGGTGCACACGGGAGTTTGGCCATCCCTGTTGCGCTCAGCCTCAGTAGATATCAGGCAGTGGCGATGCCCCTGGTGGGACCCCTGTCCGTCTGTAGGGAGTCCTCATAGTTTGTCGTCTAAGCCAGCACACTTGGAGCATTCATAGCTGCGGGGAGTGAACTGGGACTTTCCTGGCAGGTGGGGATGCATGGTCACTCTGACAAGCTTTGAGGTTTTCCCTTCGTATTATGCAAATAGAAACTAGGTTGCTTCTGTCCACACGACACTCACTCCGGTCCTGATTCCCAGCCGCCGCCTCAGCTGTGTCAGCAGCATGGCTCCCCCGGGCTGGCAGCCAGTACTGGAGGCCTGTGGAGGACCCATGACCTCTGCAGTGCTGGGATGTTGAGAAAACAAATATGGCCCTTATAATGAGAAACCCCAACATGAAAGTGATGAAATGCACATCTTTGTGGAAAAGGTGAAAACTGGATACGGATGGGTGATCTGTCGGCAGAAGAGGAGGGCGTGCCAGTTGCTTTGTGCTTCCTCCCTTCCATCCCTGAGCTCCCCCAGGGCGTGCAGTGACCCATCCGTCACATATGTACTCAGCGGCCCCCGGCGGGGGACAGGGGGCGCACCGCTGCCACCAGCTCCCTGTCAGAGCAGACGTCCTGTCTGGGTCAGTCGATTTTCTTCCCGATTGCCCAAGAGGCCAATGAGGTGATTTCGGTTTTCTGCTTCGATGAGAGCAGACCGTTCACTTTAGTGCCACACAGAGGGCTACCTTGCTGGGGATACTTGAGGGAACCCTGAGGTTGTTGATGCACTAAATATAACAGTGACAGTTGAGCCTGTGATGTTGGAGCCAGCAGAGCCCTGTGCGTGGGGCCTGTGTATTTCTGGTTCAGACAGAAATAGACACGCACCAGAGGGCATGATGACGTCAGGACCGCATCGTCCCTGCTGCCTGGCTGCCTCCTACTGCCTCTTCCTGTCCATTCCTCGGGGAGCTCCATCTAGCACTCGGGGGAGTCATGGTTCCACCTTCCAGCTGCCAAGTGCTGTCACATCCCAGCTCCCTAGTCCCCGGGGATGCACTTACTGGGGCCTTTGCACCCCTCGGCCTCCCTGTAGAGTGGTATCATGGAGGCAGAACTCCCCATTGCTTTTCCACTGATGGTATGTGCAGGCTTGGGGCCTGCTCCCTGACTGCCGCTAACTCACTTTGGTGTCGTGTTTACAGGGAACGATGGAGACCCTGAAAGACAAGACCCTGCAGGAGCTGGAGGAGATGCAGAATGACCCAGAGGTGATCGCCCGGCTGGCCCTGGAGTCCCCTGAGGTACGGAGGGGATGTCACAGAAGGCCAGCACACGGGGCTCTGGGTTGGTTGGTGTTTGTTTGTTTTTAGGTTTATTTATTTATTTGAAAGGCAGAGTTACAAAGAAAGAGAGAGATCTTCTGTCTGCTGATTCACTCCTCAAATGGTTCTGTTGTCCGGGACTGAGCCAGACAGAGGCCAGGCACCTGGAACTCCATCTGGGTCTCCCCTGTGGGTGGCAGGGGCCCAGGGACGTGGGCTTCTTCTGCTGCCTTCCCGGAAGTATGAACAGGGAGATGGATGGAAAGAGGAGCAGCTGGGACTCCAGCACTCACGAGGGATGGCGGCGTCACAGGTGGGGGCCTCATCCACTGTGCCAGAACGCCAGCCTCCACGTAGGACGCCTGAAGGGCTCTTTTTAAGGATACTGAGGTATTGGGCTTTCTAGACAAACTCATCTCTTTTTTCTGTGGACTTCGCTTTGGTTTGTGCCCAGCCAGAGGAGCCCTGAGGCGTCAGCCCAGTCCCTGGGTCTCCTGGATCCGAGAGCAGCTCCTCTGTGAGTCTAAGGGTCCCAGTAGCCATTCTTGGGCTGCTCGTCTCCTCCTGATCCTGCTTCCTGTCAAAGTGGCACCCAGTCCACTCAGCCGCTTATCACAGAGTCCTCGTTGGAATCATCCCATCTCCTCTGCCTGTACAGAGCTTCACTCCGTAAAGGGGGGCTTTCCCTGCCCTCCCTGTCCACACCGCCTGTGGCCCCACAGCTGGGGATATCCACAGTCACCCATGAGCGCCTGCCCTGGAAACGGCTGCCTCCTGCCCCTGGGGAGAGATGACGGCACAGGTACCGCCAGCCTCGGTTGATCAGCATAAACATGGCTTCATCTTCACTGATGAACAGGCATGGCTTGTCTTGTCTGGATTCACTGTCTTAAGAATGAATAAACAGGGGACTGGTGCCGTGGAGTGCAGTGCTGGAATCCCATGTGGGCGCCGATTCGAGTCCCAGCTGCTCCACTTCCGATCCAGCTCTCTGCTGTGGCCAGGGAATGCAGTGGAAGACGGCCCAAGTCCTTGGGCCCCTGCATCCGCATGAGAGACCTGGAAGAAGTTCTTGGCTCCTGGCTTTGGATCGGCACAGCTCCGTCCATTGCAACCATCTGGAGAGTGAACCAGCGGATGGAAGAACTTTCTCTCTCTCTCTCTCTCTGCCTCTCTGTAACTCTGCCTTTCAAATAAATAAATAAATCTTTTTTTTAAAAAAAATGAATAAATAAAAATGAAGCCACTCCGTCCAGCTTCTCCTGCTTCCCCTCCCCAGAACATCCCTTGCTGTAGAGGATGCCCCGTGCGCTGTGCCCCCTGCTCCTGTCCTCACTGCGCTGTCTGCCCACCACCTGCCCTCCACCCGAGAGAGGAAGCTTCGCTGGGGTTGGAGGGGCTGAGTGCTGGGCTGTAAAGGTCTCTCGGTGGGCAGAGTGTGAGGAGAGGTCTGGGGACTCCGTGCAGCACCTCCTGCCACCCTGAGGCTGTGTCTGTCCTCAGCTGAGCTTGTTCAGCCAGGACGGGAAGCCACGCTTGTTTTGGTTACGCTCCAGGGCCAGCTGGGGATAATTAGTCTGTGAGCCACGCCGGGGCCTTGCCTTCCCTGGCACAGGTGCCGGACACAGTGCAGGGCCTCATTCCTTCCTCGTCTATACATTTGTCACAGACAACCTTGACTCTCCCGGATCTGAAATACTTGAGACCAGAAGTATTTCAGAGGTGTTGAGTTTTGCCTAGATTTTCCCAGTGAAACAACCCCAATCCAATTTTTTAAAAATTTATTTTCATTGTATTTGAAAGGCCGAGACACAGAGAGATGCACTGTGGGAGATCTTCCTTCTGCTGGTTCACTCCCCAAATATCCACACCAGCGGGGCTGAGCCAGGCTGAAGGCAAGGGCCTGGAACATTCAGATTGCCCACGCAGGTAGCAGAGACCCAATACTTGAGCCTCCCCAGGTGAGGGGAGCTGGAACAGAAGTGGAGTAGCTGGGACTCAAACTGGGTACTCCAGCAAGGGGTGCAGGTGTCCCAGGCACACCTTACTGCTGCACCAGATGCCCGCTCCCCAAATCCGAAACTTTTAAGCTTTGAGCTTTCAGAGCATTTGGGGTTGGGACTTGCAGGTCGGGGGCTCCATCTGTATTACACAGCGTTCGTTGAGTCCGCCTGAGCAGTGTTCTGCTGTTGAAGTGCTGAGCTTGGCAGAAGCAAACCTTCTGTGGTTATCAGTAGTTGACTTCCAAGTTGAACAAGCTGATAGGATCCGTGGTGAAGCACAGATGTAAGCAGAAGCAGCCTCTTGGGCAAAGGCACCTGCACTTCGTGGTGGACAGCGGTTGTGCCTGGCCAGTCGGTCTGAAATCTCCCAGGGAAGAACTGCTCCTGTGGATCTCGTGGCGATGAAGCGGGGCAGCTGCTTAGCGTTCAGAAGACCTCTGACTCAGAAGCGTGGGCTTGTGGGAGGAAACTGGAGCACAGAGTGGTAGGGATTTGCTGGGTGTACAAGGGTGTGAGCCTTCGGGTGGGGCGGGGGCCGTGGGGAGCGCCTCTGCCAGGGACAGGGGTGGGGAGCAGACTCCAGAGCTTTCTTCCTGTCCTCTTATGTACGAGCGGTGGAGGGCTTCATGGTAAACCCCAGAGGGAGGACGAGCTGAGGCCCCTGCAGAGGGGGGCAGAAATGCATAGAGCAAGGTGCCATTGTGCAGACTTGGCTGGCTAAGACCTAGGGAGAAGGCCGAGGCTGGTCTGTGAGGACCAGAGAATCTGCAGGACCCTGCAAGAGGCGGCTGAGTGGGGGGCTTCAGGCTTCCTGCTCTGTGTCACTTCTTGTGTCAGCCACACAGGTGGAACAGGGCTAGTGGCTGCGTCCCTAAGTCATGTGCTTGTCCAGTGGCTGAAGAGGATGTTTGGGGCAGCAGACCAGATAGCCCAGTTGTAGGGGCAGCTTGCCATGATGGGCCCTGCAGCCCCAGAGCTGTGCAGCCACGTGTGCGTGTGTTGGGGGGGGAGGGTAGCTGTGCCCTCCCTCTCTCCAGCCCCATGGCTGGGGATCAGCAGGAGGGCAGACCTCCCAGAAACCCCCTCTTCAGGGTGAGGGGAGTGAGTCCATCTGCCTAGTCATCTCGTGCTGACCAATCATGGTATACCGTGCAAGTGCCCTGGCTCCTGTGTGGAGGCTGGTCACCCCGAGCCAGGCCCTGAACCCTGTGGCAGGTACGGGGTCCTCTCCCCTGGTGCCAGTGGTGCTGTCCGTGGCCTGCTCTCTCAGGCTGGTGGGTCTGGCCTCCAGCCCTCCTCACGGTAAAGGACACTGCTTGGCAGATGGGCAGGGCTTCAGGTCATGGGCACCTTGGGCTGGCAGCCACGAGGGCCTGGCTGAGGGGCAGCATGCTGCTTGGCTGGAGGAAGTGGCCTCTTGCCAGTTCTTGGGCAGCCTCTCTGCAAACACACGTGTGGCCTAGAGGTGGGAAGAAGTCACTCCTGACCCCGTGTTCCGTGTTCTGGTCCCCTCAGGATCGTTTGTTAGGAGGACTCGTGGCGTGTCCAGCCCATGGTCTGGCCTGGGTCACCTCAGTCCACCTTAGCATCTCTGGACCTCTGAGTTAGGACAAGTGGATGGGACTTTTGGTGCCTTCCCTCTTAGGAGGCCGTGACTTCCTCATGGACATTGGTCCTGTCCCCTCCCTTCTCCTTCCCCAGCTCTGTACACCTCATTGTGGACCTGGTACTTGTCCATCACGTGGCCTTGGGCAGGCTGTTACCTGACCTGGGTCTCCCCCTGGGTTCGGGGTCCAGAGAGACACTTGGGACAAGGTGCCCCACTTGGGGTTTGAGCCTTGGTCCATCTGTGCTCCTGGGCTGGCCTCGTCGCGGGTTCCCCAAGGTGAGCGAGGGGCGCAGTCCGTGGATGTGAGGGAGGGTGACGGTGGTGCTCATGCTCGCCTGTCCTGCTCTTTCAGGTCCAGGACCTGCAGCTGGAGCGGGAGATGGCACTGGCCACCAACCGGAGCCTGGCCGAGCGGAACCTGGAGTTCCAGGGCCCCCTGGAGATCAGCCGTTCCAACCTCTCGGACAAATACCAGGAGCTGCGGAAGCTCGTGGAGCGGTGCCAGGAGCAGAAGGCGAAGCTGGGTAGGGGCCCTGGCCGGCTGCTCTGCTCCCCAGTGTCCCCGGTCAAGGCTGCCCCGAGGGGCGCAGCAGCGGATTGCTGCCATCTCCCAGGACGGAGGCGGGCGAGGCTTGCGGCCTTCCGGGTGGGCGGGTGGCTTATGCACGTTTTTGCACAGCAGCCACACGGGGCAGGCACTGCTGCTCTCAGCTTGCAGATGAGGAAACCAAGGCTCAGAGAGCCGGCAACTTGCTCAGGTTACACAGCCGGCAGTGGGCGGGGCTGGGATTTGAGCCAGAGCGCCTGTATCCTTGCTGTCACTCAGTTGGTGCCGATTCTGCGCTTTCCAGAGCTGAGCGGGGCTCTCCGTGCCCCAGGGCCTGTGGGCTGTGAGGGTGGCAGGGCCCACCTTGGCCTCGGCTCTCAGGCAGGGTGGGTGGCTCTCCCTCAGAGGTGGCACCGGGCCGCATCAGCCTGCTGGGCTGCGAAGCCTGCGCCCTTCCCCTTCCCAGGCTGGGGAGGTCTGGCCTGGGCTCGGTCGGGCTCCTCTCTGCTCAGGAAGGAGAGGACGGTGCTGTAAGGGAACTGGACCGAAAGGGTCCTCCAGACCCACCCAGTGGGGCTCTGCAGGAGACCCCAGGGTGTTGCCTTTCCCGAAAGGCAACATTTTGAAATACTGATCTCGGCCTTTCTTTCCAGAGACATTTGCTTCAGCGCTGCAGCCGGGCGCCCTGTTAGACCTCCTGCAGATCGAGGGCATGAAGATAGAGGAGGAGTCCGAGGTGAGACACAGCGCTGCACCGGCCGGAGCAGGGGCCGTGTCATGAGCACCCGGTGTCCGCAAAGCGTGGGGCACGGAGCGCTGAGCTGGCAAGGGCCTTGGCGGGGCCCAGTGGATACAGATAGAGTAACCTCCTTATCCACGGGGAGGCCTACCAAGACCCCCACTGGGTGCCCACAACTGCAGATGTATCGAACCCTACTTGGGCTATTTCCCCCATCCATACACACAGTGATAAAGATGAATTCATAAATTAGGCACAGGAAGAGATGAACAGTGATACCTAATAACAAAACCGACCAATTTATAGCATTCCACAAAAAGATATTGTAGTGAAGGTAACCGAAAACTTATGAACTGCTTATTTCTAGAATTTTCCAGTGTTTTCAGAATGTGATTGACTGTGGGTGACTGAAACTGCAGAGCCTCAGGGGTCTGCTCTAAGAGGAACCCCATCTCCCTGGGTGAAGCAGAAATGGGTGACAGTGGGCAGCGCAGGGAGTCCTCTCTGGACTGAGGCCAGGACCCCTGCCCCACTCCTCGCCCCCTCCCTCCGCTTTCTGCTTCCCTCTGGGCATCGCTTCACTCTCCCTGCTCCATACGCTGAGTGCATGGCCTAGCGTGCACCCATTCAGCTGGTCTCACATCCATGTAACGGCCACCTGGGCCTGGCACGATGCCAAGGGGCGGGGGACAGTGGTGACCATGACCTCGAGGCGCTGGCAGTGTAGTGGGGGAGACAGGGCAGGTAAACACATGTACGTGTGTCAGTAGGGAGAGGCCACGAAGGAGTAGGGGGTGGCTGGGGCGGGCCCGAGGCAGGAAGCCTCAGCAGGACTCCTACCTGGGGAAAGCAGGCGGCCAGCCTCCCAGCAGGCCCCGGTGTCAGCAGACCCTATGTCTTCCAGGCCATGGCTGAGAAGTTCCTGGAGGGCGAGGTGCCCTTGGAGACCTTCCTGGAGAACTTTTCCTCCATGAGGACGCTGTCCCACCTGCGCCGGGTACGCGTGGAGAAGCTGCAGGATGTGGTGAGGAAGCCCAGAGCTTCCCAGGAGCCCGGCGGTGATGCCCCTCCACCCCGACCACCACCCCCACCTCGCCCGGCCCCCCCGGCGACGCCCCCTGCGGCCGAAGAGCAGCCGCCACCGCTGTCAGTTGCTTCAGCCGTGCCTCCCTACCCTCTGCCCTACAGCCCATCGCCTGGCCTGCCTGTGGGCCCCACTGCCCAAGGAGCCCTGCAGCCAGCCCCATTCCCAGTGGTATCCCAGCCCTCCTTCTCCTACGGGGGGCCTCTGGGCCCCACTTACCCATCAGCCCAGCCGGGACCCAGGGCTGCAGCTGGCTACTCTTGGTCCCCACAGAGGAGTATACCGCCCCGGCCAGGCTATCCCATGGCCCCAGCTGGTGCCTCTGGCCCTGGCTACCCCGCGGTGGGGGGCCGGACCCCCAGTCCTGGTTATCCTCAACAGTCCCCCTACCTCCCAACAGCAGGAAAACCCCCCTACCCAACACAGCCCCAGCTTCCGGGCTTCCCAGGACAACCCCAGCCATCAGTGCCCCCTCAGCCCCCATATCCCCCAGGGCCTGCCCCTCCCTATGGGTTTCCACCTCCCCCGGGGCCCGCCTGGCCTGGCTATTGATTGCAGCCCTGGCCCTTGCCCGTCCCTACTTCCACCAGTGCCACAACCTCTGGCCCAGCCATCACTGAGATTCCAGGTTAAATTGGAAGTGGAGTCCGTGCTCCCTGTGGACTTGAGTGGACACATGCGGGCCTTGGAGGGGCCTGGCTGGGAGTGTGCAGGCCCTTAGAAGGCAGTGTGGGCAACGTGACCAGGTTGGCAGTGGCAGCAGTAACGGCACCTGCTGGCCCTCTGGCTGTGGGTCCTCCTGGGGCCCTGTTGTCTCGGTGACTGGCTTCAGCTTTTCTGGTGCTGGCCAGGCTGCAGACCCGGGACCCCTGTGGGTGTCCATGTGGCTGGGCATATGCATGCATCGTGGACCTTGAACCCAGCACAGGGTTATCTCAGTGATGGGGTGGCCTCCCGTCTCTGGCCCCTGCCCCCTCCCCACCCTGGGGTATTCGACATGGAGCCCCCTGCCCAGGGATGCCGCTCTTGATGTCTGTCTAGTCTGCTCTAGGATGGCCCCAACTCCTACTCCTTGGCCAGGGTGAGGTTGGAGCCAGAAGACGGGAGAAACAGCACTTCTTAAATCCTATGAAGCCATAATGTAACCCCGGTGGACTGATCAGCTGGTCCTGTGTGCTACTTTGCACGGCAGAACTGCAGGGAGGGGCTGGAGGCTGTGAAAGCGGACCCCACCCCTGCTTGCGCTGGTTCCAGAGTCCAAGGTGGTCCCCTGGCTGGGGAGAAAGAGAGCAGCTGGAGGCCGGAGGTTGTGGTTGTGCAGGGCTCATCTCGGCCTGCAGGGCCAGGTCCCCTCCCAGCTGCCCTCTGTTCTCTGAGGCTGACTTTTTCTGCGGTCCACCCATCCATCCTCTCCTTTAGTGCCTTGACTCTCACTCAGAAGCAGCCCCCTTCAGTCCCTCCGTCCTCCCTCTGGCTCGCTCCGTGTAATTCTCCCCGCCCCAGACCCCTCCCAAGACAGACATCAAAAGACGCCCTAACAGTAACCTCCCAAACGGTGCTTCTGGAAACACCGCCACTACCGTGGGGTCGGTCTCTGCACCTCTCTCGTGAGGATGTCCAGGGCAGGGATGGTGACCCTGCGCCACAGGCAGCCCCTACACACGGGGCTTCCGGCGTGCTCAGTAACCACGGAGACTACACTAGACCAAAGGGGGTGTGAGAGTGAAGCATTAACTCGCTTATTTCAGATGTGAACCAGGTCTCAGGGCAGACCCTGGAGCTGCTATCGGTCGGGAAGTCGTATGTGCCTTGAATTGTCCACCTCTGCCGGGCCTGGGGGTGCTGGGGGCCGAGGAGGAAACCCCGCCTTCTGGTGCCTGCCCCCTCCCCGGCCTGCGTGCCGTCGGTGGGTGTGCGTGATGCTGGGTTAGCCTGCTGGTTCCTCACCACTTGTGCTTGCTTCTCATAAGTTATTTATAAAGAGAAATCACTAATGGACTCTATTTGTTTGAGTGTTTCTGAACTGGAGGAACGATCGCCGGGATGTTTGTATAATTAATTTCCGTAATAAACTTTGAAGAGTCACATGTAGTGTCGTGGCTCGGGGTGGGTTTGCAAGACGACGACGTGGCCGTGGGTGGGGGCCTTGGTTTCCTCTGGGGTGCAGGGCCTGGCCCTTCTAGCAGTTTCCTTTCCTCTCTTGCACTTTGATTTTGCTTCTCAGCCTTTTTCTGCTCAGAGTCTGCCTTTTTGCCTTGGAGAGTTGTGGCCTGCGAGGCCTCAGGATCCCACTAGGTGGCACCCAAGCCTCAGCTGTGCCAGGAATGCCCTTTTTTTTTTTTTTTTTTTTCCTGGCACCTGCTGAGCTGGCCAGAATGCGGCCTGCCAGTGTGTTCCCTGACCTACCCAGCTTCTGAGCGGGACTGCGGGGAGTGTTCAGAGGGGCAGGGGCAGCCGAACAGGCTGTGCAGCCAGCAGCCTGCCCCCGTCCAGCGTCCCGGAGCTCTGCTGCTGCACCGGTTGTCAGGCGGCCTGGGCGGCCGTCCTCTGCTTTCAGCAGTACCGGCAGCTTCCAGGGATGGCAAGACCTGGTTTCTCCTGGTCTGGCAAGTCAGCCCTACTGTTGCTTCCCTGCAGACTGCTCAGAGACGTGGAGAATTGCCAGATCAACACGCCGGGCCGTGCCTCCATGTCATGTGCGTCATCTCCTTGTGTCCTCTCAGTTGCCCTTTGGGCCCCAATTTCAAATGGGGAGAAGACACAGGGTGGCCGGCTCAGAGACCAGGTGGCACAGCCTGGGGGGTGGGGTGGGGTGGGGTGGAGGCGGGACCAGATCTCCTGCAGGCAGGAGGCCAGTCTGGCACCAGAACGCTGTCCCCAGGACCCAGCTGGGTCACAGGGCTCCAGCATCTACTGCCCTCCGCCCCTGACCAAACCCTGGCCTTGCCTTGCTCTCTTGGCTTTGTAGGAAGAAGCTTCAGGTGTCTCCGGGAGCACAGTGAAATCTCTTGCCACAGGTTGTTCCGAGTGGCAGCAGGAGGTGGAGTCTGGGGAGCAACTCAGACTAGACTGTTACTGGAATTAAGACTTATTCTATGCATCTGCTCTCCCACAATATGGCGCTGGGAGAGGAGGAAACAGCTTCTACACAGCTGCCTCCAGTTCAACCAATAAACAGCAGGACCTGCTCCTGATTGGAGGAGAGCAGCATACTCGGCGTGTGGGTAGCAGAGTTGGGATTGGTGGAAGAGGACTATAAAGGAGGAGAGAGACAACATGCACCGGGAACATCCGAATAACATCTGAGCAGCCCCCGAGAGAGCCGGCCGGCGGTGTGCCGCTCCCCCGCGGAAGTGGGGAAAGTGGCAGGGGGAACCGCCCTTCCACGGAGGTGGAAGGGTCGGTAGCCAACCCGGGAAGAACCAGCAGCAAACCCGGGGAGGGCCGAGCAGACAAAAGAACAGCGCAGAGTCCTGTGTCGTTCCTCCACGAAGAGGGGGAGCGACAGTGGAGGGACAGGCTTCCCAGGACAGGATGATGTCATGAGCGGTGCTGGCTGGTCACGTGAGGGTGGCAGCCCCACTGGGGCACGGGTGCTCCCCAGGCCTGCCTCCTATGAAATCACTGGGTACACTTGGCCAGGCCATGGCGGACCCCTTCCTGCAGAGCCTGCTACTTGGGACGGGCCCTCCTTGTCCAGTTTAGAGCCTCTACTAGGTTCCAGGCTCAGGGCAGACCTGGCACTGCTGCCTGGGGCAAGGCCAAATGTATGTACAGTATGGAATGTTAGTTCATTCCATACTCCCACATCCCCGGATGCATAATAACTTTAAAAAAAGTATTTATTTACTTGAAAGGTAGAGAGAGAGCACGTCCATCCTCTGGTTTACTCCCCAAATGACCACCACAGCCTGGCTGCAGCCAGGAGCCCAGGACTCTGGGTGACACGTGGGTGACAGGAACTCAAGCTTGAGCTGCCACCTGCTGCTTCCCAGGCATGTTAGGGAGCAGGACGGAGGTGGCGGCGTAGCCAGGACTCAAACTGGCACCCTGATCTGGGATGCAGGTGTCCCAAGCATCGGCTTGGGAGTGTTACAACACTCAAACCACACCTCAACTTTAAACTTAACGGCTCTCCAGTCTAGGGGAGCTTCCCTTGGGATCCTCAGTTTCCTAGAGATAAAGAGAATGTGCTAGAATCGGGTTGCATGCCCAAAGCCTTCCAAAGGCCATCCAGGTAACATGTAGGGGAGAGGCTTGGGGTGCTGGGGACACAGGTGAGTGGGAGGAGCAGCCCCTGTTCTGTAGTAGATGGCTGTGAAGCAGCAATGGGGACTCTGAGGTTGCCCAGGTCACACAGCAGGGGGTCCAGCAGCTGCGGAAGACTGGCTGTGTGGGTCACTGCCTACCTGATGGCCCTCAGGCTCAGTCCAGCCAAGGCCGGAACTTGTCAAAGACTTGAAGACTCAAATGGTTCCCATTCAGCTGCATGACCAGACCGATGCCTTTGGAGTATATCACCCAAGCCTACCACAGCCTGAAAAACAGTCTTCTAAAGACATTTTTCTCCTCTACTAAATTGGGTTTTGGTGGGGTGGTTTTTTTTTTTTTTTTTAAATAGACCATAGTTGCTTTGAGGTCACCATATGGTGGTCAAATACATCAAAGAGCCTTTATCAAGAAAGACCTATATAGGAAATGTTTGGGGTCTCACTTCCTCTAAGAGTAGCCTCTCACCTACCCCCGCCCCAGGTATGGGCAGGTAAATGGGTGACCCTAAGGATGGATATCCAGCATGTCTGGGGCAAGTGTATGACCCAGGCCTGGCCCCCTGGGCTCAGAGGGAGGCCTGGTGGGAGGCTGTTGGCTGGGGGCCAGGGTGCTGACCAGACTCCTGGCGTGCTGGCACCGCTCCCCACCCACGACTCTGTGACTGGCTCTGACTGTTGATATCAGTGCTCCCAGTAGCTAGAAAGCCAAATCGAGTGGAGAAAGACCCCCAAACCCAAAATGTGCTATCCATCGTGCTACTTCATCACCTGACAGAGCCTCCTGATGCCCGAGGGCTTGGGGATCCGGGCACAGCCTCTCCCTTCATTAGATCCCAGGTTCCGAGTTAGGTTCCCACTCCTCGCCTGCAGTTGAGGACATTGGCATCGCAGGACTGCCTGTGTGGCTGGGATCTTAGTGTGCAGACTGGTTAAAGGAATTATTCCAACCCAAGGCGCATACCAGCCCCATTCTCTGACTCTCCAGTTAGAAAGTTAACTGATTGGCTTGGGATGGATTTACCAGGTGTGCCCCCTGCCAGGCCCTGGGGTAGCACCTGTGCCCTTGCCTGCCAGTGGCCCCTGAGGGTATACTGCATTGGGATGAGGCGTTGGGTCAGGTGGCTGTTTGAGCCCAGGTACCCACTGCCTCCCTTGTGGGCAGGTGCAGCTGTCTGTGTTCAGGTGTGCAGCCCTCTGAGTGTGACGGCTACAGTTTCCCTCCTTGCAGGTATCCTTAGAAGAGGCTCGAGCACTCCCGTCCTTGGGTAGTAGGAGAAGCATGGTTTACAAAGAACACACCAACCATACACCAGGGAATCACCCCCAACAGCTCTGAGCTTCCTTGTCATTCCTCACCGGGGTCACGGTCCAAGGAGAAAGGCCAATTCTGCCCCTGTTAGGAAAGGGGGCCAGCTTCTGGACACCCCCAAGTCTCTACTGAGAGGCGCCACACCTGGAGGGGCTGGGCCTGCCACTGTGATGGTCCTCGCCTGGGTCAGGGTCTGTCTGGGCGGGGAAGGTAAGAGCTGGCCTGCCCCTGTGGGTAGCAGGATGTGTGCGAAGGCACCCTGGTCTCTGTCCAGCTCTGGCTGGGGTAGAAATCCGCTGTTGCTGAACTAGGGAAAAGAGGTTGCGTGCTTTCTCCGGACAGATGAGTCCAGCTCTGGGTTGCCAGTTCTGTGGGGTGAGACGGAAACCTGTTGGAGGGGGAAACCCCAGTCCCCGCAGGTGACTTGGGGAGGTGCGGGACAGGCCCAGCCCTGGGCTCCGACGGCACAGCTGCTTGTCCCGCTGCTGGTGCCCCAGGGCCTTGTGGGAGGGCTTCCAGGTGGGCTCAGGTGGAGGATTCCTCTGCTTCGAGTCAGCGCCAACACCTACATTGCTGGCACTTGCTGTTTGCCTTTGCAAGAACCCAGGCACTCAGGTGCGGGCAGGAGGGGACGAGGAGAGGAGTAGGGTGGCTGGCGCTGGTCCCTAGGGCTGTGGGGACACTGGGGTGCTGGGCCTCTGGCCGGGGTCACATGCACCTTTCACAGCCTCTGCGCTGCGTGCAGGTCGTAGTCGCTGTCGGAGGAATTGTCGGGCTGCGTGGAGGAGCGATGCAGGGCCCCTTCCAGGGCTGGGGAAAGAAAGGAGGTCATTTGCAGAGGGCTCAGGGGCTACCTCAGAGCCAAGGGCTGCTGCCCACATGGGCGGAGAGATCACAGGGACTTTCTGAGCTGATGACAGCCCCTGTGTCTGTTTTGATCAGATCAGCCAAGCGCTCACTAATGATGCTGAACTCCGGGCCCTGGGGCATGCTTGTTCACACTAGCAAGGGGGCACAGGGCTCCTGCAGGCCACTTAATGGCTGTCTTTGGCCTCCCAGGAATCCAAGGGGCCTCATTTACCATCGACCCCTTAAAGGCCCTGCAGGAAACAGGCGCATTAGGTCACAGCGAGGCCGGGGTTAACAGCGCCCACCTGCCCGAATAAGTGCATTCTGCTCTGTAGATGAGTGGCTCACAGCCCCACAGGGCCCGCTGAGGCCTGGGAGGGCTCCACCCCTTCCACGCTCGGCCTCTGCCTGCTGTCAAGTACACAGCTTGAGCCCTGGTCCCCTGGAGCCTCCCTGCTCTCTTTGGGCAGTCATGTGAGCTTCAAGGACATCACGTGACCAGGCTGGGCCCTGCCCGCCTGGGAGCACCCCTGCTACTTACCCGGATAAGCGGACAGGCGGGAGTTCCTGGGAGGCTGGCTGTACTCGTTATCCACGTGGGAGGAGGCTGTGGGGTTCCCCGCCTGGGAGCGCACGGTGGTGGCCGTGTGGTTGCGGTGGAAGGACACTGAGCAGGTGTGGGAGACGGTGTTAGTCGGGGTGCTCTGTCCTCCCACGCCTTCCCAGGGGTCCCCTGGGGCCCTAATGCGCTGTTGAGGATGTCATAGGGAAAAGGCCAGCCACCCACAGTCTCTTCCGTGCACCCCCACTTTCCTCTCTTCCTGGAGAAGTCATGCTACCAAGGTCAGAGGCAGACTTTAAGAGCAGGTTGGGCTCGGCCAGCAATCTGATTGGGGGGTTGGGGGCCTGCAGTCAGTCAGTCAGTCACACATTTGCCTACACTGATCGGACAGATAGACACCCCGCCCTCCAGGAGCTGAAGGCCTTTGGATTGTCTAAAGGACTTCCTGAACGCTTTGGCCCTGGACTTGGGAAGAAGAGTGCAGGGGGCGTTTTTGCTTCCATCTGCTGGGCTGACGCTAGTCCCTAGTCCCGGCTGGAAGAGAGGGGATGGAGACGGGGTGGGGGATGGGCTAGCTGGTGATAGAAGCAGCTCGGTGCTTCAGAGATGCCCACGAAGGGTCCAGTAAGGCCTGAAATACAGAACCATGTTTAGCTTTGCTCAATTCATGGTTCTCCAGACTCGATCGCAGGGTCCCCTTTTGGGAGCAACCATTGGCCACTGTGTTGGGGATGCTGCCCAAGGAGGTGGCTGCCACTGGGACCTCATGACAGAGGGGAGGCCACGGTTGCTGAGGCTTCAAGGTAAAACCCACTCAGCCCTCTGTCCCGACAAGAAGCCATGGCCCTGCCGGTGCGGAGACATCCGCTGGCGACAGTCAGCCCCTACAGGAGCCTGGCGGGGACCAGAGGCAGCCGCTGGCTCTGTGATGGGGCAGAACCTTGCCCTACCTCTGCGGCCCACCTCCGGGACACTTACTGTTCTGGCTCATTTCCGTGGGGCCGATCCACTGGCGCTGCTTCTTCTGTCGGACTGGGCGACAAGTAGGAAAGCACGTCAGGGTGGGGGCCGGGCAGGGGAGAGCAACGCGGGGAGGGGTTAGGAGGGAGAGCTGGCAGGTGTCGCTGAAGGCAGGACGGACAGCTAGGGTCTGGCTCCCTGAAGTCTCTCCGGGCCTCCAGGGAAACCAGAGCCATCTAGTGCCAAAGGAGTGTGCCAGGCTGCCCGGCTTCCCAGCGGAAGCACCATAGGCATTTCGAACCGGGCAGGCACTAGGGACCCAACACTGTCCCCGCTCTGGACTCTCGGCTTCCAGCCTCCTGAGTGTCACTTCTGGCCTCCCAGGAGTTCCCTAAGGCAAGGACACTGACCCTCTGTGTTCACAAGGGCTCGGAGTGCCCATGTGGCCAAGAAGGAAACTGAGGCTCAGAGACAGGAAGCGGCTCTGTTGGCGTGGCTGGCAGCAGGTGAGCGGTGGAGCCAGGCCTGCGTTGTGTGTCTGTGTCATAGAATCCCTGCTAATGACCCTGCGAGCCCGCCACAACCTGAAAGAATGGCCACAGCCTCTCTCTGGCTGATGGGGGCCAATCGGAGGCGATGGTTTTCCTGCTTTCTGTTTCTGTTACTCGGGGCAGGAGAAGGCTAGTGCTGAGGGTGTGGGTCGGGGGTGGTGAGGAGGGGGCCCCAGGCACCGGCACCTACATTTCTTCACCAGCTTCCTGTAGGCGAGAGGGCCGCACACCACCAGCAGCACTGCCAGGAGCACCAGGGCCAGGATGATGCTCGCCACGGTGCCTGCGGCTGGGCCTGCAGGGTTTGGGTCCTGGCCTGGAGAAGGGGTAGGGCTTAGGTCAGTCACAGCCCTGGGGGGTAAGTGCTGCTTGCTGCTGCCGCCCCAGCTTCCCCGAGGTCACTTCTGCTCCTTCCACAAATCACCAGCTTGTTTGGAAGGCTGGCCCCACCCACATCCATCTCTGGAAGGCTCTGCCACTTGTCCTTGCCCCCACCCAGTCCACAGTCCATCCCCCAGCTGCCACTGGCCACTACCTTATCCACCATTTAGCTTTCTTCCATTCCCTAGTTTCAAATGCTCACCTTCCCATCTTAGACCAGTATCCCTGGAGCCTCCAGAAAGTTCCCAGGGTGGGCGGGGGCTCAGCCGCCCAGATAGGATGCTGGTTAAGACGCCCGTATCCCATATCAGAGTCACTGAGTTCAATTCCCAGCTCTGGCTCCTGACTTCAGCTTCCTGCTAGTGCAGACCCTGGGGGGTGGCCATGACGGCGCTCGTAGCTGGGTCCCTGCCACACAGTGCCACCCCCACCCCCACCCCCGCCGTGGAAGATCTGGATTGAGTGTTCAATCCCCAGCTCCGGCCCAGCCACGGCCGCTGCAGGCATCTGGGGAGGAAACCAGCAGATGGGAGCGTTCTCGCTCTCCCGCGACTCCTCTCTGTGTGCTTCTGTGTGCCTCTCTATGTCTCTCAAATAAGGGAATTCATGAAAATGTGCATAGATTTCTTCTCTTAATTCCAGTGTCCACAAACTTTTTGAAGGACTCTGGTGTGATTGTCTATCAGTAGCCATCCAGCCAGCCACTCCCCCCTCCCTTTATCTGCCAATCATGTAACAAATATGTACCCTCTACCCCTTGACCTCCTAGCTCCCAGCCTGGGAAAGTGGAGGACAGAATGAAGGGTGCTACCATTCACCAGCTGCCTAACAGTGCCTTGCTGGCTCCTCTGTATCCGTCACACACCTGGCTAAGCATGGTTGCTCCCCGTGCCCCAGCGCCCTCTCTCCATGCTTCTGTGGGCGCTGGGGCTCTGTCTGGCTCCTAGGGCCTGTCCTGCAGAGACTTGCTCACTGACCAGGTCCCAGAAGGAGAGTCAAACAGCTCCACCCTCCCTCGCTGTGACCAACTCACATGTGACAAACACCCTCTTGCAGTTGGCTTTTTTCTCCCGAAGCTCGTGGCACTGGGACAGTTTCTCCTGGGGACATGAGAACCCCCAGGCAGCCTTCTTGCCAGTATCCAGCACGTAGTAGGAGTTGACGATGCCGCATTGCTGTTCCTGGCACAGCTCCTCCCACCGCGCCGTGCCCTTGGCTGAAGAGTTGTGGCACAGAGCTGCCCACCGCGGGCCCTGGCGCACCTCCGCGGTGCCCTCGCATATGCTGCTGCCCCCCACAAGGCGGCTCTGCACCTTGGGCTGGAAATCTGAGGAAGGCACAATGGGAGAGGAGGTGAAGCCTGGGTCCCAGCCCGCAGGCTGACCCCCGGTGCCCATGCCACTGGCAAAGCCGGGGCTGGCAGTGAGCAGGAGCCAGGCAGGCTGCCTTCCTGCCTCCTGCGCATCCTCTCTCTCACTTCTCCTGACCAAACTCTGTCCCTGTGCCTCTGGGCACCTGCCAGCAGCTATTCTGAGTTGCACTTCCTGTAGAGAAGTTGGCGAGGTGGCAGTGCCCATGGGCAGCCGCCAGCACAGAGCTGGCTCTTATGCCAGGTGGTGGGAAGAGAAGAGCATGGGAAACCAACCCGGCCTGGTAGAAATGCCCTCTCCTTCTCTTGCTGCTGCTTGGAAAGGGGGAAACTGAGGCCTAGGGTGGGGGAAGACTTGTTCCAAGTCCTGGAGAACTCACAGGTGGAACAGAACCCAGGAATCCTGCTGCCCGGGCCCTGGGCCCCGAGGGCCACGCTTTCAGCTGCTGGAGCCTGGTCCAGCAGAGACTCAGGTTCACTTGTACTTGTCAGGGTGGGGCCCGGGAGTCCCCGGCTGAGGCCCGCTCGGCTCAGTGCCCATTGAGCTGTGATCTCACGAGCTTTGGCTGGTTTCCATAGCAACGTCGACCTTCAAAGCCTTAGTAAATCTTCTTTAGAAGAAACTTCAGAGGCAAGACCCCTGGGCATGGTTTTGCAAGTCACCTGCCAGGCAAGTGGGGCCAAGGGCCTGGGGGGCTGCTTCTGTCTGGGGTGGGGGTGGGGGGATGCTGTGTTTTACTGCCCAGCAGCTTGGGTGGGGGTGGCCCTGCTTGTAAGAAGCCAGGGGACTGGGAGTCGTGGTTTCTAGGCTGTGCAGAGGGCGCCCTGGGCCCTCACAGGACTCCTGATTCTGATTGTGTGGGTCTGGGGTGGGGGTGGGGGCCAGAGCCTGTGTTCGTCACCAGCTCCCAGGCGGTGCTGAACCTGCAGGGTGGGGCAGCACGTTAAGCAGCCAAGGCTCAGATACCAGAGTGGCAATCCTCAAGCCGTGCTCTGTGAGCCTGGGCAGGACATGTAAGCTCTCTGAGGCTCTCATCTAGGGATGGAGACCCCCGCCCCACTTCTCACCCGGCGGGGCCTACTGCTGTTTACCTTCCTCTTTTGCACCTGGGGGCCTGTCCTGCAGTTTCATCCCTCTGTCGCCTCCCCTCAACCACATCACCTCCTGGCTCTGTGGCTCAGGACCCCTCTGCTCCACCCCCCACCCCATTTCCCTCTTTGCCTTCTGCGCTCTGGCCACCCCTCCCCCTGGATTTACAAACACCCCTCCTGCAAGCCCCGCCCCACCCAGCCATCTATAAAACCCTCTTCCCTCCTTGTGCCACCAAACCCTCCAGGAGTCTGCTGCTTCCACTTCCCCAGGCAGCCACCACTGAGCCAGCGGTTCCGTCAGCCCAGGGTCTCCCCTCCTCGAACCCGCGCCCACTTACCCGAGCAGACGAGGGCCAGAGCCCGGCGGCCGTCCTGAGGTCGGATTCTCCTGAAGCACTGCTCCAGGGAGGTGCAGCTCGCGTTCTGGATGCCCCATCGGATTGGCAGAGGCCTGCGTCCTCCCAGCTCCCCCGCAGCCTCGACCGCTGTCACTTCCTTCAAGGAACCGCACTGGAGGGTGGCACAGACGAACTTCCCCAAGTCCTCGTTCTTGTCCTGAGCCTCAGCGCAGATGGTGCCCCCCAGGCTGCCCCTGTAGAATTCCACCACGCCGGCGCAGTGCAGGCCCCGGGGCCCTGGCACCAGCTGCAGCCTGGGGGGAGCTGGAAGAGGAGAGAGCTATTGGGCCCCAACAGGTGGGCAAAAGCTGACCGACAGTCGGCTCTGGGAAGGGGCGCAGTCCCTGGTACGGCTGCTTCTACTGGTACCAGGCAAGCTTCTACTGAAATGCGCATGTTTATCTGAGCTCAGAGCCCCCTGGACATCTGGGTCTGCTCCCCCCAACCTGGGGAGCCCCCAGGGTCTCAGCACACTCTTACCCGTGGGCTGCGGAGTGGTTTCCGGCGGGGGACTTGTGGGCGGAGGTGTTGTTTTCCTGGGCTCTGCAGTGAGAGTGCAGTGGGGAATGAGGAGGAGAAGGGAAGGATTTGGGGTGGGGGGAGAGGGCTGGGGGCAGCCTGGAGTGTCGAGAACAACTAGGAGCTCGTGGCGTGGATGCTGCCAGCTAGGTAAGCCCACTTGACTCGCATGCTGTTTCTCATCCTCCTGTGAGGCGGGTAGCACTACCCCACTTTACAGATGGGAAAATAGAGGCTTGGAGGAGACTTTCACGTTAGCAGTCGACAGAATCAGGTCCTGCTTTTTCACCTTGCTAGACAGGTGTCAGTTCCCCTGTGACCTCCCCCTCCTGCTCTCCCACCAGTGTGTGTACCTGGTCGGGAGGGGTGATCATAAATTAGGAGTGCCTCCCCCCTCCACCTGCTGCTCAGGCCCCAGATCCCAAGCCCTGGGTGGCCTCCTCTGGGCCAATGCCCGAGCCAAGGGTGCCCGTGGGGCTGGCGGCTTACCCACCTAAGCAGACCAGGCCCAGCGAGTGGCACTGGCTGATCCTGCTGCAGTTGGCAAAGGACCCTGGGAGTCCCATGCAGAACAGCTGGTTGCGGGGTTTGTTGAAGTGAGGGAAGGGGCCGACCGCCAGGGCCTCCCCACAGTGCAGCTGCTGACAGAGCTTTGAGGCCTTCCAGGGGTCCTTCCAGCCCTCTGAGTTCATGCCCCAGCTGCGGCTGCACACGGTGTGCCATGAGCCCGTGGTGTAGACCTCCAGCTGGCCCTGGCACGGTGAGTGGGAGTTGGTGAGATTGGCCAGGAAACCTAGGGGTCAAAGAGGTGGGGGCAGTCAGACTGGGAAGATCCCATCCCTGCCCCCCCCCCAGATGCTTTCCTGGGCTCTCTGTGAGCCTTGAACTTCCTGGGGCCCTGCAGGCTTGGCCGCCCGACCCAGGCGACCTGAATAGGGCCTTGAGTTCAGAGTCACAAGGGAGGGCATTTTGAGCAGGGGACAAGATGTGCTCATGTCACACCACCATCAGAATCTCCATTCCTGGATATATCAGAGGTCTGGGGGGGGGGGGGGTGGGGGGTGGGCTGAGGCCTATTATTTAAAAAAACACACACACAACGTTTAGGGGACAGTGTTGTGGCGGAGAGGGTTAAGCCGCAGCACTACGGGGGGTGGGGGCACCAATTGGAGATCGAGCTGCTCCATTTAGAATACAACTCCCGGATAATTCTTCTGGGAAAGTGGTGGAAGATGACCCAAGTGCTTGGGCCACTGCCATCCACATGAGTGACCCGGATGAAGCTCTTGTCTCCTGGTTTCAGCCTGGCCCAGCCCCAGCCGTTGCTGCCATCTGAGGCGTGAACCAGAGGATGGAAGCTCTCTGTCTCTCCTGCTCTCTCTGTCACTCTGACTTTCAAATAAGTAAGTAAATTTCTTTAAAGATAATGAAAAAATTGAATAAAAGACAACATGCATTTTCTATGAACTCATTGAAGTCCCTTCGTACGGGTCTTTGTGTGAACATATTTCCTGCTTTCTTGGGAATAAACTAAGAGTGAAATTGCTGGGTCATAGGTAGGAATGTGGGTCATAGAATTTTGTAAAGCTCCACAAGGGGAGAGAAAACACACATAAACGTGTGCACATGTGTACACACATACACTCACAAGAAGACACATGCACACACACGTACAATAAACCATACATGCACACACATAGACACATATACACATGCATGCACAATACATGATGTACACATGTGCACGTGCATGCATACAGATGCATTCCCTTGTATACACGTGCATGCATGCATTAGACATACATGTATACACATGCATACACATAGGCAACATATGTACACACGCACACACATAAACACATGCCCACGTGCATGCATAGACATGCATGAATGCATATACACATAGATGCTCGTGTGTACACATACACACATGCGTGCACACGTACACTCACACATGTAAACATGCACACAACGCATAAACACATGCATACACAGAGACACATGCATGTGTACACATACATGCATGTGTGCACACACATATATGTTTGCACACACATACACATACGCCATTGTCCCTTGTTGTGCATGGGGGATTGGTTCCAGGACCTCTACAAAGATTCTAAAATCTAGAGATGCTCCAATTCCTCACATAAAATAGTACAGTATTTGCGCATAACCCGCACGATGCTCCCATATACTAGACCATCTCCAGATTACTTGTAATACCTAGCACAATGTAAATGTATGTAAATAGCTGTTTTAGCATTCAAGAAAAAAGTCTGTTCATGGGGCTGACATTGTGGCACAGCAGGTTAAGCTGCCACCTGCAGTGCCAGCATCCGATGTATGAGTGTATATGTGTGCATGTGATCAGTCTTGGCTGTTCCTCTTCCGATCCAGCTCCGTGATAATGTGCCTGGGAAGGCAGAGGAAGATGGTCCAAGTGCTTGGGCCTGTGCCACCTACATGGGAGACCCAGATGGAGGTTCTGGCTCTTGGTTTCAGCCTGGCCATTTGGGGAGTTAGTTAGCAGATGGTTCTCTCTCTCCCCCACCCCCATCCTATAACTGCCATTCAAATAAATAAATCTTTAAAAAAAAAGAACCTGAACATGTTCAAAGTTCAATACAGACATGGACATCATAGGTCTAACTTTTTTTTCCTGGGGAGAGAGATAGACACAGAGAGACCAACAGAGAGAGATTCATTCATTCACTGATTCACTCCCCAGATGCAGGCAATGGCCAAGACTGGGCCAGGCCAAAGCTGCAAGCTGGAAACCCAATCCAGGCCTCCCATGTGGGTGGCAGGACTGCCCGCCTGGTGTCTCCCAGGGTGTGCACCAGCAGGAAGCTAGAATCAGGCAGAGCCAGGACTTGAACCCAGGCATTCTGATATGGAAAGTGGGTGAATGAACCAGCAGCGTACCTTCTAGGCTAAACGCCCAGGCCCTAACTACATTTGATCCACAGATGGTGGCTCCCTGGGTGTGAATGGCCGACTGTGTGTGTATATATGTGTGTGTGTATGCATGCGTATTTGCACAGAGCTTCTAGGCATATGTGCAGGAGAGGAATAAACATGGCCATTACCTGGTGGTGTCGGGAGGACACGGGGCTGCGCAGTTAGGGCACAGGGAGTGAGACTTTCTAAACTGCTGAGCCAGGTGGTTCCTGGTGATCTCCAGGTGTGGGTTTCTCCTGGCTGGGAACTGCGGGTCAGGCTGCCTTTTCCCTCATGCAGATGAGGGCACTTGGGCCCCTGAGTGTGGGGCAGGATCTGCCAAGGTCACTGGCTGGTCACCTGTTGCAGGCTTTCTGCCCCCAGAACAGACTCACAACAGACTCACTGACTCCTCACCGGGAGACTTGGTCCCCATTTCTCAGGTGGGGAGTCTGGGGCTCTGAGGGGTCTGCATTGTCACAGCACAGAACCAGGACATGGATGCGGGATCCGGGCCCCTGCCTTGTGCCTCTGAGGCCCCATGGTGACTTCATGAAAGCCTCCAGCCATGATCATTTCTCCCAAACACATTCAGCGTGGTCTTATCCCAGTTAACGTGCAGGAAAGAGGCTGGGGCATAATGTGTGTGGTGTTGCTGCTTTTAAAGAGGTGCAGGGGCCTGCACTGTGGTGTAGCGAGTAAAACCGCTGCCTGCAGTGCCGGCATCCCATGTGGGCACTGGTTCAAGTCCCGGCTGCTCTACTTCCGATCCAGCTCTCTGCTATGGCCTGGGAAAGCAGTGGAAGATGGCCCAAGTCCTTGGGCCCCTGCACCCATGTGGGAGACCTGGAAGAAGCCCCTGGCTCCTGGCTTCGGATCGGCCCAGCTCCAGCCATTGCAGCCATCTGGGGAGTGAACCAGCAGATGGAAGACATCTCTCTCTCTCTGACTCTGCCTCTCTGTAACTCTTTCAAATAAATAAATAAACCTTAAAAAAATGAATAAAGAGGTTTAATGGATTTCTTTGTTGCAGGACTTCTCAGAGCCTTAGCTAGGCCAGTGTATACTGTCGATCTCCAGTGAGGGTCCCACGTGTGCCACGGAACCCTGTTTGGGAAACGCTGGCCTAGGAGGACAGTCTAGCATCAAAAGCAAGGTACTCAATAAAGTGTACCCGTGCACAAGCCTCAGCTGCAAGTGGCCTCGACTCTGGATTGCGGAGCCGGACTGAGAGGACGCGCAACTCTGCAAGCTGCACCTGGGAGCCAGTCCGTTTTCTGTGCCTGGTGAGTGGCTCATAAAGACCATGACAACCAGCACACGTGGGGTGCGCCGTGGCCGTCACTGGCATCCACCTGCCCCCTCCCCGGGGCATCTTAAATGTGGGCGTGTGTGTGTGTGTAAGTGGTGGGGTTCGCCCTCTCTGGGCAGGGTGGGGCTCACCCTGGCGGAGACGATGGCTTTGCAGTCTGATGGAACTTTGGCCTGACTGTCCCCTGCTCCCGGTCTCTCTCCACAGGTTCTTCCTTACCTGGCTCATCCCAGCTGGACCATCCGAGGCAGGAAGTGACTGCAGAGAGGAGAGAGCAAGGGTCAGGAAGTGGAGGCTGCCACCCTCAGCCCTGTGCCCAGCTCACACCCACCCACAGCTTGAGGGAGGGCCCCTTCTGCCTACCCACCCCAAGATCACAGGGACAGGGAGTTTCTTTTAGTGGTCAGGTTGGCACCCCTAAGTGATCATGGGATTAAATGAGTGGCTGCAGCTATTGAGCTTTCCTCCATCTTAAAAACTTTCATTTTAGGGGCCGGCGCTGTGGTGTGGCAGGTTAATCCTCCACCTGCGGCACCGGCATCCCGTAGGGGCACCGGCTCGAGTCCCAGCTGCCCCTCTTCCAATCCAGCTCTCTGCTGTGGCCTGGGAAAGTGGTAGAAGATGGCCCAAGTCCTTGGGCCCCTGCACCTGCGTGGGAGACTCGGAAGAAGCCCCTGGCTCCTGGCTTCGGATCAGCACAGTTCCAGCCGTTGCGGCCATCTGGGGAGTGAACCAACGGAAGGAAGACCTTTCTCTCTGTCTCTCCCTCTCACTGTCTATAATTCTACTTCTCAAATAAAAAAATAAATTAAAAATCTTAAAAAAAAACTTTCCTTTTAAAGTGAGCAGGCAGTGAAATGGATTTTTCTTCAGGGCACGATTCTAGGAGTGTTACACATACACGATGTGTGCAAACGCATCACCCTCAGAGTGCACACAGTTCCATGTGCCACCCCTTGGTAGCAATGCAACCATCATTTTTTTTTCTTAAGAAATGGAATGGAAGGAAGACTCAGAACAGGCATCGCTTTTTGACTTGTCAGCTGCTTTCTAGGATTCCCAAGGCAGTTAGCCGCTCACAGGTCTGGAGGTGGAGGCCCAAGCTCCAGGCGACAGAAGGACTCAGGCCCAGTGGTTGTGGATTCATAGGGACTCAGTTTAGCCCAGTGTGGGCCCTTTGGGACATGGAGTGGGGCCAGAGTGGCCCATGGTGCGGGACTCCCAGCTGCTGCCCTGTCTGGGTGGGGATGGGGTGTGGGGGCCTCGGGGCTCCCGTGTGTGTGCTGGGTGAGCTTTATCACTTAAAGAGCAGCCTTTTAGATTTCCATCTGTCTGACTCGTGGTTTGGCGGCTGGGGCCAGCACTGGGCCAGGGAGAATGCTTAAATCAGAAGCAGTGAGAATTGCCTGGGGAAATTGTTACTGCGTGTAGAAAAGCAGATGTGTCTTAAAAAGCCCGTTCCTGCCACAGAGTTCTCAAGCTGGTCTGATGTGAGCCCCCGCCAGCGGAGACAGCGTGATGACGTCATCACGGCCCTGTGACCAGCACTGCCGTCTTCCTGAGATCCCAACTTGGCTGCCCTGGGAGTCTTTGACCTTGGAAGGGAAAGTTGGCCGGTGCTGTGGCTCACTAGGCTAATCCTCTGCCTTGCGGCGCCAGCACACTGGGTTCTAGTCCCGGTCGGGGTGCCGGATTCTGTCCTGGTTGCCCCTCTTCCAGGCCAGCTCTCTGCTGTGGCCCGGGAGTGCAGTGGAGGATGGCCCAAGTGCTTGGGCCCTGCACCCGCATGGGAGACCAGGAGAAACACCTGGCTCCTGCCATCGGATCAGCGCGGTGCGCGGTGGCCATTGGAGGGTGAACCAATGGCAAAGGAAGACCTTTCTCTCTGTCTCTCTCTCTCACTGTCCACTCTGCCTGTCAAAAAAAAAAAAAAAAAGAAAAGAAAAGAAAAAGAAAGAAAGGAAAGTGATACAAACAGGGAGCGTCAGCCCTGGGGGCTCTGGCCCGGTAGAGAGGGATCGTCCAATCGTCTGGCCCAGGGCAGAGGGCGGGGCAGCCCCAGAGAACGTGGACGAGATGTTCACCTCTCACCCCTGACCTCTCACTCCCACCTCTTTCTGGCCCCAGGCCCCGGGCAATCCACCTTTAGAGATTCACTCCTTTGGCTGAGTCGGAAGGGCTGAGGCAGCTTGGGGGCCGCGATCCGCCCTTTGCTGCTGTGCGACACAAGGTGGTTGGAGGCGCTGACACCTTTCTGCCGCTCTGGGTCTGAGCACCGGCTCTCCCACTTCCTGCCGGTGGGGCCCAGGGAGCAAGTCTGAGCCCCTGTGAACCTCGTTTTCCTCATTCGCGGCGTGGGGATGAGTGCAAGAGCAGCTTCCTGGCTGTTATGAGGATGACGTGAGGCAATCTGCGTACAGGACTTAGCCCAGCACCCTCCTGGCCCACACTCAATACTCAGAGCTGGGGCGAGTGTGGCCGGGACTCCAGGTCCCTGGGGAGCCTTCCAGGTGGGAGGGCTCCCTGGTCCGGGAAGCACAGAGGCCCAGATGTGGAAACTAACCAGCAGAGTCAACATTCCTCAGGAACCTCAGCTAGCGCTGGGGGAGCACCTGCTGCCCCTCCGCGCTCGGGTGGTCCCTCACACACGTCCCTGCTCATCTTCCACAGCCCCCACAGCAAGCCCAGGGTGCACGTGTCGGCAGACGGCCAGCAACCCGACCAAGGTGGCCCAGCTGGCAAGGGACGGACCTAGATTCCCTCTGCTCCCCCCACCCGATGCACTCAGAGGGTCAAGTTTGGAGATGCAGAGAGGACCACAACCTAAATCCTGACCTTGACAGCCCTAAGAGCAGCGACCAAGCTCCCCATGGAGCACTGCACGGCCTTGCTGTGCTTGGAGAACGTTCCCAGCCAGGAACAAGCTGGAGAACCAAGTGACCTTCCAGGAAGAAAACGCGCCACTAGCACTTTGGAAGTTTTCCCTCTCCCAGGCCACACCCCACGTGAGTTTTGTCAGCCCTCGGCAGCACGCGATGAAGTGGGTTCAGCAGTGTCCCCCATCCCAGACCCCCCTGGTGATACCTGAAGCCGTGGACAGCCCCGGGCCCTACGCAGACTCTGTTTCCCGCGCACGCTGCGGCATTGCCACACGGTGCCGGAGTTCAACTTCCTCCCGGCTTTTATGCCCTGAGGTCTCTACTGCGCCACTCGTTTGCATTCTGGAGCCATCGTTAATGTAAAATAAGGGTGACTTGGACACAAGCTGTGCGAAGCTGCAACGTAGCTGACCTGATGACCTGCTTGGCTACTGAGGGACTCGCGGTGGGGAGGGCGCAAGCCTGGGTGGGTGCTGGCCAGACAGAAGATGACTCACCAAGCACCATGGCACAGATACCATCACTCTACTCAGAAGGGCGTGCAGTTTGAAACAGACAACCTGCTTACTTCTGGAATTTTCCATCTCCTACTTTCAACTACCTGGGGTGGTTGACCTCAGGTAGCCAACCTTGGAAAGCAAAACCACAGATGAAAAGGAACTGCTGTCTTGTTTGTTTGTATTTGGTCCCCACGCCGTAGATGAGGAAACAGAGATTCAGTCACTCACCCAAGCAGCTGGTGAGGGCTGGAGCCGGGACTCTCTCCCTGCCCTGCTGCCGCCCTGACCATTAGCAGGAAATGGGTGAGGCTCTGCCCGGGGTCTCATGGATTTCCCTGGAAGCAAAGGCACCGTGATTCTGTTGCGTCAGTGCCGAGGGGAGTCATAGCCACCAGCCAGCTGTGGGACCATGGGAAGTCACCCCTCTGGGAAGTGAAACTCCGGATCCCTCCCCGGCGCTGGGGTTCTGTGACCCAACGGGCTAGGGGTACGGAGGAGGTGGGTGGGGGGATCTGCCGTGGGCTTGGAGTCTCCTGGTACTTCTTCTTCCTGCCTGTCCAAGCGTACATTCAGCTTTGGGTCATCCACAACCCCTTTCCATTCTTATCTGCTTCTCACGGGGCTAGGACCAACACCCTGCGGCCCCTCGGCCTGCTCTGGGGCTGCAGGCGGACTCCCTGATCTTTCTGGAATCCTGTAGCCTGAGGCCCTAGGTTCTGCTGCCACCACCTCTGATTATCCACCATCCAAAACCAAGTCCCGGGCAGCTGGGGCAGGAGAGGAGGCTCCCTCCCTTTTGAGCCCCCACACCCTCCTCTGTCTAAAATGAGGCTTGGACTGGGCCAGACCTCGCAAGACTCAGGGCACAAAAAGCAGGACAATATCAGGTGGCTTCGTCCCTGTCCCCAAGCCCCCTGTACCTTGTCCCTGCACTGGCGGAGATGGACTCATTTTGACCCTGCCTGCTCTGAGGAGCTCTTAGTGAGGATTAGACGAATTCCTGCCAGCCGCTGACAGGTACCCTCCCCACAACCTGGCCCGCAACACTAGGACGGGCCTGGCTTGGGCTCCCTCCACGGCAGCCCCAGGGCTGTATCCGGCTGCCAATGAGTTTTATTTGCTCTGTACTGCGTTTTACATTTTCTTAGAGCCAATGTTTAAAGAGGTTTCTTCTTACCGTGGTTCTACTTTTCAAATGGATTCTAATGTCCAGGAAAATAGGACGCCCTGCCACACCGGGGAGCGTCGCTCGGAGCCCCAGGCAATGGGCTGTACCCTGGTGGCCCCACACTGTCACTCGCACCTTAAGCCCTGGTGTTGAACACGTATCTGTGTCTGCAATGGAACCTGTGTTCCCACCGGTACTGTAAGCAGCCTCCCGTTTGTTCAGGTCAGGATTTGTGCCCAGTGCAGCATCTGGAAACGCACAGGTGTGTTTTGGACTTGGGACTCACAGGTGAACATTCGTGGACCTGCGGGGCTGACTCCACCTTACAGGCGATGAGGCTGCTACGGTACATGGGGATGAGAACAGAGCACAGCCCTATGTACCCAGGCCAGCTGGCGGCAGAGCTGGGCTCCTGCCTGGACCCTCCCTCGGCACTTGGAGCCCCTGTGCAGTGCAGGAGATGGGGATGAGCAGGTGGCTGACTCAGGGGCCAGTGAGCACCCAGGACCCCAGGGAGGGCCCGGGACGTGGTGGGTGATCATGACAGCAGCAGTACTCCCACCGGGTGCAGAGCCCAGGGGAAGGTTTTGCACGGCAGACCCTGTTTCTCCCAGAAGCCTCGTGGGAGGGGGCTGGCACCACTGCAGGCTGATGAGGTGTGGGGTGGACGCCAGACGTGGCCCTGTCTTCCCAAAGCACGGTGCCCTCCGACAGGCCAGAAACTTCTCGCTGACTGCCGCCGCCATCGGCAGCCAGCATGGCACCTGCCCTGCTTTGCGGGAGGGTCCGGAACTCCCCCGTGTTGCTGACCTGGAGAGCCAAACACCCTGTCACTGGTGGAGGGGTCTGCCTTGAGGCTGCCCTGGGGCTTCAGGAAGCAAAGGGCCGAGATCCTGTGTCTCAGGTCGGGCTCTCTGTGAAACGTGGAGCGCTGCCTGGGCTCGCGCCCCGAGGGGCCTAAGGGCGGATCCCGTGCTCAGCCTTGGGTGGATCCCTGCTCAGCCTTGGCCTGCGGGTGGATCCTGTGCTCGGCCTTGGCCTCCGGTGGATCCCGCGCTCAGCTGGGGCCTGCGGGTGGATCCCATGCTCAGCTGGGACCTGCGGGTGGATCCCGCGCTCAGCCTTGGCCTGCGGGTGGATCCTGTGCTCGGCCTTGGCCTCCGGTGGATCCCGCGCTCAGCTGGGGCCTGCGGGTGGATCCCATGCTCAGCTGGGACCTGCGGGTGGATCCCGCGCTCAGCCTTGGCCTGCGGGTGGATCCTGTGCTCGGCCTTGGCCTCGGGTGGATCCGCGCTCAGCCTTGGCCTGCGGGTGGATCCTGTGCTCGGCCTTGGCCTCGGGTGGATCCCACGCTCAGCTGGGACCTGCGGGTGGATCCCGTGCTCAGCCTTGGCCTGTGGGTGGGTCCCGTGCTCAGCCTTGGCCTGCGGGTGGATCCCGTGCTTGGCTTTGGCCTGCGGGTGGATCCCGTGCTCAGCCTTGGCCTGCAGGTGGATCCCGCGCTCGGCCTTGGCCTTCCAGTTGCTACTTCTCTCCTTTCCCAGTGACCTCACCAATCTGCATGGGTTCCACA